ACTTGCGTAGAACTCGGACATTGTCGAGTGAGGCAACCGACACTTTTCGTCAACGTAATGCGCCTTATCCCATTGAGTAAATGACTGCAAAAAAGGTAATAAGGAGGTAACTCTGGGTACAGAAAATTGAGTTTTACCTCAATATGAGAGCAACTGCTTTTCTACGTTAAGATATGGTTATGTATATCAAGATAGCCAATGTGCACAGTTAAATAAGATGGTTTCTGAGATTTCCGCTCAGTATAAACCTGTGGCTCCCAAGGATTGCACGTGGGACATCGTCGATTCAAAATTAACTCGACAGGGCGTTAGCCAGCCAAAGGCGGCTTAGCTGATGGGCACGCCCAAAAATGACCGTGTTATGACGGCCTTCAGAACTGCGCTTTTCAAAATCGAGCATTAGAGTGCCGACGAATTGTATAGCCATGTGGGAGCTACCCAGATAATCACAGTTCTTGTACAAACCCCTTTCTTACTGCATTTTTGTAGCCTTACATTCTTTGAAATCCGCCGATTTCAGTCCTTTCTACGCCATTATCGCACCAAACCTTCCCTTTTTCACTTAAACTGATTACCTCAGAAAAGTCATGAGCAGTGATCATCCATCAACATGACTTCCCAATTTCACAACAGGTTCGATGGATCATCCATAAGAATTAAGCAATGCGAAGGCGAAAAATGGCGATAAAAAAGTGGTGGTGCTACATTCTGGTCGGGTTTGAGCCAATTTTATGGGAAAATTATGGCTTAAGGAGACACTTCGGACTCTTTATTTGGGAGAAAAAAACATTTGGCTTTGACATGAACAATTTATAAGCATGGAACCATACGTGGACGAGTCAGAGTACATAAATTTTTTTTGGGAGAACTGTGTTCGGAGAAAAATGAAGCCTTGACAGCAGTAATTCGACAGTTTTGTGCATGAAGTGAAATTAGAAATCTAAGAATCGGAGTTGCAATTGAATTTTCTTTAAGTCGTGTGGAACTGGTTTAACAGTAACCAGTGAAAGGACCTTTTTACCAGGATCGATTCAAACAAAATCGTAACATGAACAACTCCTCAGCGATCTATTATACTTATGATGGTTGGATGAGAAAATCTTTCGAGCAACTCTCAAGCTCAGGACAGCTACCTATGGGGTTTCAACTTGTGTCAGCCTGGTTAGGCACTGAGCACACATGAGAATGGGCAAGGTGGCAACTTTCCACAGTTTCCTTCCACTCTCTCGGACAACTCGGACTTTGATCGGGTCAACGACATGTCACAATACAAAGGAGTAAAACAAAAATCGCTGTGTAGGTACTAGAGGTAGATGAAAATACAATAGACTTTAAAGGTTTCCCTCCATTCAGGGATTTAAGCGGTTGTTTAGGGAAATTTTGAGGAAAGTTCAAGGGTTGTACTCAAGTACACCCAAGAGGAACGATAGGTCCACTTCAGCGGTTTCATGAAACAACTAACGGTGACACTAATTGTTGCGCATTTACGCAGAAGAAGGCGGAATAGTGGTGGGCGGCGGGAGGGTGTGACGACCACTCGCTGACCCTTCGGAATCGTAGAAACAGGATTAATTGTTGCACACCTATCGCAGGTTCTCGGCGAACGTTTTTAAGCGGTTCCGATTCATCAGAAGGGCAGTTGGGTAAAAATGCGTCTGTGCGTCCATACAACTCATTCTATTTGAGTTCATCTAATTACTTTTCATCGAATGGAAGCTTTGGATACCACTTCAAATCATTATTGATTGAAATTACTTATATTTTTGTGAATTTTTTTCAGTTTATTTTCATGAGATTTTTATTTTATTTCATATGAATTCCTGGAGCAAGTAAGCTGTATAAAACGCGCGTGTTAAGAAATGCGATTCTGAAGAAGCACGTGGAGAGCCGGGTCAAGTTCGAGATGGGACGGGAGTAGGGTAAGATTGAAAGAGCACATTTGGAACGCGCCTCTGCCCAACGGAGACGGTGATGCCATGGACAATTCCGATTGGTTTTATACCACACCAGACGTTGAAAAAAATGAGCAATGTTGAGGAACGGTCTACAAATGAAATGAAGGAAGCATGCTCGTGGTGGGCGGAGCATCCTCAGTAGGCGGTAATTTCTACGTAACTTTCATGAATCAATTATGCGAAAGCCTGCAGGCCAGAAAAAATTTTAGGATCGGGCATGATGTAGTATGCGCTTATCATGAATAAACCCAGCGAAGCTTTGCTGGGCATGCTCTCAAGCATGAGATGCTTTCACAAGTAATTATAACTTCGTAAAAAAGCTCCAAAACTTTAAAAGAGAAGTGATTGGGGGTCAATGAAGGAAGAATAATCAGGCTCAGAGAGTAGGCGGAGGTGCACCGAAATG